TAAATATTTGGTTTATATCAGATCAACACCTAAGAGTCTCGAGGACTTGTAACCAAGTAAACAATCACGTGGGAGCATACTGGTGGCTCAGGACACCGGAAGTGAAATCGAAGCTAATCGCGTAAATATTCATCTCACTAGTCAAGAACCCTTTGAAGAAAGCATGTTAACACAGCCAACGTTTTGTTGGCTATTTAGCCAAGCTATTTTAGCGGCTTCTATACAACCACAGGCAGCATCCTTCTTCGAGGACATCGTGCAAGTTGAGAAGGAGCAGGAGAAAAAATAAGCACCGCTACCATTGGAGACTTTCTGGCGCCAACACGGATTTCCTAAAGCCCTTCTTTTCAAAAAAATATCCTACTGCAAATCGTACACTTTAGAGAACCTAACCGAATGAGTCGAAATTACTCAGTCTCGATGACATACCGCCGAAATTACTGAGAGAGTTCTCTGAGAAACTGGCTAAACCATTTTTCATAATTTTCCAATGCCAGGGTATTCTTTCAGACAGAAATTGATGCACAATAAAGCAGTCAAGATGGAAGGGTTTTTATACGATGCATATTTTTCCTATGCCTTGTCACACCATGTGTAAACAGTCGCCAAAGAGTGATACCCAAGGTGGCATATTCCGTCACAGCAGTAATTAAATCATTTTAAGGTACTCTTTTGGCAAAGAAAAATAATGAAAAACAAACTTACCCATTATAGAATGTTCGCAGACAAAGTGCGGAACAACGAGATGGTCATTTTCAGTGCAATAGGAGTCGAATTACTTGTCAATGCATAAAAGAACGCTGCTCAATTTTCACTTGTTTTTGTAAGGCAAGGAAGAATGGAGAAAGTAGAGAAAATCGAATGGAACCACAACGATATAGTCAGCTAACAAATGCCAACGTTTTCCTTCTGCCACGTCTACTAACTCTTGTCATTTTTAAACACATTTGATTTACTTGCGCCTACACGGCATGAATACAATGGTATTGTGCCAAAAATTGCTTTATTAGATTTACGCGTTAGAATCTGAAGGGATTTGGAAAGAAAGACCTGTCGAAATTGGATTTTTT